GACGCCTTCCGGGCGCCAAAGCCATCAATGCGTTGATACAGGCAGAGAAGAACCCAGACAACGCACCTGGACGGTTGACCCGGATCATCAAGGAGCAGAAAAGGGGCCCCATTGGTGGGGCAACGATACGAACAGGGATGGACAAACATCGAGGAGAGATCGTACTACGGTTCGAGTGAGCAAGTCTCCTCATCCGCAGATACGATGAACATCATCTCCCGATTGCAGAAACTGGAGAAGCGCAGCGTCGAACAACGGAGGCGAGACATGGACGACTCACCTGTGTCGGTGCACATTTGGATGTCGCTCTATGACTGGGTGCGCATGAGGGGGTGTGGGTGGCAGGTGACCGCCAACCCCATCATTGACTCCTTGCAAAAGACGATATCCGACCTCGTCAACACGTGCAAGGGCTTGGTTGTGGTGTGCGTGACTTGGGCCCAAACGCCAATGCCTGAGCCTGAGCTGATTGTTCTGCGCAAGCACACTTGTGCGGCAGGCGACGCTCAGCCCTATTCTATAGAAGCAAGCAACGACAAGATGACAGTTCGGCCTGGAGCTCCGCGTCCAGCATCTCCCTGACCAGGTCAGGCGCCAGACTTCGGGCACAACGCTAAGACTGCATGAACTCACGTAAAGTGTGTCATGAACAAGCTGAAGCACGATGTGCGTGTGGCACGCTTTTCCTTGCGCTATCAAAAAAACATTGCAGCTCTTGTCTTAACTGCCCCAGCGGCCGACGCCTGACCTTGCTGCCGAATGAGTCAATGGGTCGTCAGGAATGACATTACACTTCGGAACATTTGGGGCCCCTATATGTATCCACGTGGGCGCAGCCGCTGAGCCTAGCGCCTGCTGGCCGGGCGCTTCAGAATGGACTGCACAACCTTTGGTGGCGCTGTTGCAGGCCGCTCTTTGGCCCTTGCCAACTGCTCAATTGTCATGCTTGAACGTGTCTGCACACAATTAGAATCCAAGCAGATGATCTCGTCCTGGTCGGTCCACCAAACAGGCTTTCCCGTCATGTCACTCAGAATGTGCACCAGCAGAGTCGAGACGGCGATGGGCCTGATATACGTGCTCTCAAAGCGGCAGTCGCCATATGGGTCGAGGCCAACTGCGGAGACATGGATGCCCGCATTGGTCTCGTGGCAAGACAGCCTCATGCTCATCTTCTGCACCGGCACGGTCATCATGAAGATCTCATTGCCGGTCTTGCTGGGACGCTTCAGGATGACGCCACTGTCGTCCACGCTCATCACCTGCCACTTGAAGGCCACGCAGGGGGACGTGGTGAGATAGAACTTCTCCCCCACGACGGCTTGGCTGCACCGCCGCGAGGCTGTGTGCCCAAGCAGCAGCCAGTCGGACAGCGTCTGGCTCTCCCAGTTGGCCTCGTCCTCTGACAGGTCGGTCTTAAACTGCCAGCTCTGCATGGCGGCACACGGATACACAAAGGTGAAGGGTCACTGAGAGCGAGCCTCTGTGGCAAGGCCCTGCTTCAAGATGCACACAGCGAGCGCTCACAACGCCCTGCATTGGTTCATGTCAAGTACATGAACCCTTTCCAGAACGTGATGTCGGTCCAATGGCCGACCGTAGCGATTGATTCGACACTCCAAATTCGATTGCAAACGATCACCAACTCAACCCGATGCAAGCAATGCGAGACGCCAAACTCAAGCAGGGCTGCAACAGCTCGCTACAAAAGGCAGGGCTTTTCAGAAGCTCGCCTGTGCGTGGCTCGCTTCACTGAAAACACAGCTCAAACACATCCAGCACACGCCCAATGCAACGCACTCCCCACACGCGCCCAACATGGTTTGTGCATACAACCAAAATGGTGTTCCCCAGCTGAGCACCAAAATGAAACAATCGTTGACCCAAATCGTGAGCCTCTCTGGGTTGCTAGTTTTGGACCCCATATTGGGGCGCCCTTATGTTCCAAACTTCTTGTCACTTCCCTCAAACTCATTTCCACCCATTAATTGGTTCAAGCAACCCTTAGTTGGAAACCCTCCCTCAAACGCATTCTCATCAGCTCGCTCCACAACGCAAACTTTTAACGTCCTGGGATCGTGCGAATTCCAGTACGGGTGAAACATGTTCCATTGAGGACCTGCCGCCACACAATCTGTAGTTTTGCACATTGGTTTCTCAAGCGGCTGATTCATCCAAGTGGCCCTGAATTTGTCGTTCAACAAATCTCCAACATGACCATGTCTCGGGATTTGTTGTTCGACAAACCAACCCCACATTTATTTGTTGAAAAACAAATTTGCATGAGTGGCATGTACCAGGATTTGTTGAACGACATATGTTTGGCAAACTCTCTTGCTTAGGGTTTTGGGATTCTCCGAGCAGGTCCGGTCGGTGTCAGCTAGCGCACACAATCTCAGCATCGATTGTCAAACATGCGATCCATGTTTCACCTTGCAAGTGCCACACAAATCGATGCGGATCTGATGCGCCGAGCGGTGTGTCTATGCGGAATCAGTCACGGTGTGGCCGCTGCGTCTTGCCATCAAAAAACTGTATAGCGGCGTCCAGCCTTTCCACACGCAACTCCGCGCCATGTATGTCTATAGCGAGTGCAGAGCAGGCCGCTCGCTGCGGGTGTATCCAACTCACCAGCTTGGCTTTGCGTGAGAACCATTGTCAGGCCCGGCATGCTCTGCTATGTAGTGCCTTGTTCATGCATGATGCAATTCGCCTACTTGCGGCATCGCTCCTCCATGGAAGCCTTGGCCACAGCTGCCAGGTCCCTCACTGCCTGCCATCGAGCAGCTTCCACTCCGCCTGCACCGCCGCGACTGCGAGCTCGAGATCTCCCGTAGCCAAACCTGGGTTGCAGAGCAAAGCCACGCATGGGTTGCAGCCTTCATGATATGAATGATACAGATGCAACACGCGACAATTCAAGGAAAAAAAAACGACAACCACGCAGCAGGGCTTAAAAACACAAGCTCGCTTTAATCAGCAGGGCCATGAGCTCGCTCACACGTGAAAAAAGGGTGAGGTAAATCTACATGAGAAACCAGCCAAGTGTCGGGAAAAACTGCCCATCTGCAGACTCCCAGCCGCCAGACACATACCTGCCGCCCCATCGGTCGGTCTTGCCCTGCATGCTGCTGCCTGAGCTGAAGGCCCACCATGGCTTAGGAGCATGGGCCTTCTCGTCCTTGCCGTGCTTGCCAGCCTTCCCATCTTTGCCAGCTGGCTTGCCACCCTTGCCATGCTCGCCAGCCTTGCCATGATGTTTGCCGCCCTTGCCATCCTTGCCCTCTGCGGATCGAGATCTGCCAGCACGAGCGCCATGATCTGCATGCCCACGCTTGCCAGCTGCAGACTTGCCCCCCTTGGATCGCGAGCGGCCTCGAGATCTGGACGAGGCCTCATCTGCGCCACGCTTGTCACGCCAGCCCTTGCGCTGGCTATACCTATGATCTGGGCGATTGCGGGCACCAGGGCGAGCGTCCTTCTCATGGCTGAAGATGGTCCTGGGCCTACCTTTGCCGCTGCGCTCGCGCTCCATCTTCCACGGAGCTGGCTCCTTCTGCACCGCAAACTCCTTCTCCACATCTTTGGGCTGCTCGTCGATGGGATCCTCGACCATCGGCTCCTCTTCCTCCCGGCAGCAGCCACCCTCTTCAAAGCGACCCTCTTCAAAAAGCTCATCTTCAAGGCAGCCCTCTTCAACAAGCTCATCTTCGAAGCCGCCCTCTTCCTTTTCCAAGGGCTCCTGCGAGCGCCCCTCCAAGTTCTCTGTCTTCGCGATGTTCTGCACCTTGGGGATGCTGTGCGCCGCATCCACCTCCTGATTGCCAGGGGTCTCCACCTTGCACGCCTCCGTCTGTTCGGACTCCACCTGCGCGCAGCAGTTGCGTTGCTCAGCACCCCAAACCCTAAGCCTATATTCAACATGACTGTTTCTTCAGCGCTTTGCAACTGGGATAACGCTGCGTCGGCAAAACACTGCGTGACAAACACAGGTGAGCTTGCCTTGAGGTCCACCTTCTTGAGAACCAGCCGAGTCAGCAGCGCACCAGGCTCCTCCAGGTCCTGCATGTCAGCCCCGTCATGGGGCTCCGCCGCCGTCATGACCGCATGGATGCCGGATTCGGCCATGGGATCGCACGCAACCGAAATTGGACCGTGGATAACAAGTGTGTGTTTGCTGGGTCCATCTTACAGTTAAACTCTATGTTGTCTTGTTGAACTGCCTCTTTTTTAAAGACGGAACACCTCTATGAACAGACAAGCCAAAAAGCAGTTGAAAATGCGAAGCTGAAGCATGGAGAAGATTGCGCTGACGACCACACCCCAAACCCTAAACTTGGTGGCTGTTCCCCCCTAACCAAAAACTTATGAGAACATAACCGCATAGCGAGTGGGGTTTTGAGGGACTAAACCGGAAGTAAAATAGAACCCTGTGTGTGAGTGCCCAATCGGGATGCTGTGTCAATGCGTGCCCAATCGGGATGCTGTGTCAATGCGTGGAGCTGCCGCAACATGTGTTCCTAGAATAACAAAACTGACAGACACACAACATCGCATGAAAACCGGTGCATTCATTAACATTGACGCGGCATGCCTTGGAGCCACAGGCCACAGCACGCAAGCGATGAGCCAACATCAAGTGTCCAAAAAGGTTGAACAAATGCAGGGTGCACACTATTGAAGGCCGGCAATGACAAAACAGACATGGCAGGGTTTCAAAAAGCTCGCCTCCAGCAGGGCTTTTCTACAAGCTCGCTTTGGCCCTTGCCTCCAACAAGAACCGCCAAGCTCGAAGCACATACCTGAAAACAAGGAATGCATGCCAGCGCAGATACTCTCCATTTCGAATGACAGAAGCACAAAGCTTTGCTGACCGATCAACCCAACACCCAATGGCTGGCTGCTGCCCGCCATACGCCTGACCAGGCACACAGATATGCGCTCCTTTCCCACGCAAGCATCTCACCTGCACTGAAGACACAGTGCCCCGACCATCTGCCTCAGTCTGCAGCATGAATGGCTGGAGCTTCAGGAAGAGCGCCAGACTCCGCATTGCGCAGCTTCTTCTTGGGCGAAGCGCGCTTTCGTGGCTTCAGCTGTTTCTGTCCTGACGCAACAAGGTTCTTCATGAAGCTCATGTTCTCCACAGTCAGCTCAATCCAAAGGTTCTTGGACGTGAGCCCCCACAAGACCCGCATTCCCCTTGACTCGTGGGTGACGCCCTTCCACTCCAGCTGCGGCGTCTGGATCGTCACGATGGGGCTGACCAGGTGCGCATCCTCTTCTCTGACTTTGCGCTTCTTGCGCCTCACTGCCTTGGAATCTTCTGGCAGCGAGTCCTCCATTTCAAGGGCTGCCGATGCTGCCAGGACGCTTGCTTCCTTGCGCAAGCCGAGCATGGCATCAAAGTGCGGAACGTTCGCATTCCTGTGGCCATCGCCTTTCTTTGAAGTGGAACTCATGGTCTTGTTCAAGCAGAACTTCACAAAGCCGCGGTCGAATTTGGCAAGCTTGACGAAGGGCGCCCCAGCCTTCTCCACAGTGGTTGGCAGCCATGTCCTTGAGCCGCTACTGGTGACAGCCCATTTCTGTTCGATCTTCACGGCAACTTGCTCGTCGCCAGACTCTCCGTCCGACGGACTTGAACCCCGCGCGGACATTTGCGCACAGTGCGAGCCACAAGGGCCCTGCACACAGGCTACGAGCTTGAACAAGAAAGCCCTGCAGCCGCTATCGCAATGGCTACAGACACGCACACCAACTCAAATTCATCACTGCCTCACATTCAAGTCTCAGGTGGGCCACGCACACCATTTGTTCGCATGCCAGCTGAAGGTGTGACGCGAGTGCGTGCCGTAACGGGGGATTGTTCCATACACAATTGACGCCCTACGCACATGGAGGGCGTGCCCGGCATGATGAGAAGGAAAACCTCTGATGACAAACTTACAACCGCTGTGTGTCTTTTTGATAAAGTTGCTTCATGACACACAGGCTCTTAGCCGGGATCACGCAGCGCTCTTCAGGCGCTTCCTCTGCCTAGGCTCTGCGGCAGGAGGCTCCACTTTCAACTCTTCAGGCTCAGACTCTTCTGGTCTGGGCGAGAAAAGCAAGAGGCTTTCGCCAGGAGATAGAGCGCGTCGGTTGATCAAGAGGGGGATCTTCACATCAGAGTTGTCCTCATCGCCGAAAAGAGGTGAAATGGCACAGTTGGCCTCTTCCTCCTGGTCAGTCTTGCGCACCATGAAGAAGGGGCAAAGCACCGAGCGGTCAAGGCTGCCGTCCTTCCCTGGAGGAGAAAAGCAAGAGTAGAGGAAGAGTTGCACTCCGTCAATCTTGCCCAGGGACAGGCCGCCGGGCTTGACCTCTACCTTATGAGTGCTTGGCGCCAAGATCATTTTCCCTTTCGCAAAGGCCTTCTGGCACACAACATTCCTCATCGGCTTCACCTGAAGCTTCAAGCCCTCCATGGTGCGCTCGAACTTTCTGCCTGCCTGGAGCACAGCCTCCGCCACACGACCGCGGACTGCCATGAGCTGCAACAGGTCAGAGTTTGTCCCTGCGAAATCCTTGTACTCTGGCCATGTGAATTCCAGAGACTCTGCAGGCTTCTTCACAATCTTCCAGTCCCCCTTCAGGAAGCTGGCCACGGGAACCTTGCACTTGCCGCTGACAGACTCCGTCTCAATGCTCAGCACAACAACCGAGCTCTCCATGGCGTGGATCTGACCGCGGGCCTTGTCCTTCTTGCGGACAACAAAGGAGCCAACCTGAAAGCCTTTCTCCTTGACCAGGATTGACTGGTCTTGCAGCTTGCCTGCTGCATCATAGGCCCTTTGCCTTGGTGGAATGAATTTTACGCAGCTTCAAGATTGCATAGCCCTGAAAAAATGAGGATGCCTGTAAAACAAACCAGCCAACAACGGCTATTACGGCAAGGTGCTCAGAGAGCTGGGAACCTTGACTGGGCTTGCAGGAGCCAGAAGGGCTCTCGCTGCGCTGATCGTACTCGGCGCAAATCCGTTCGCCGGTCAAATCCTGCACCTCATCCACAAGCTTGCGGCAGGCATCGGGCATTTCAGTGCCCTTGATCTTCTGCATCGCGATCAAAACCAGCGTGTCTTCAAACTTGTCAAGCGCATCAAGGTCTTGCCCTTGCAGGCCAGCCTCGCGAACCAGCGGCCGCATCTTTTGCATCAGTTCCTGGGCCTGGAGGATGGCTGGCTGCAGATCTTGCACCGCAAGCATTCGCTTCACATCCGCTGCAGCGATGACCTTCTTCTCGGAGGCGTACGCCTGGGAGAACACAGCATAGCGGAAGACTATGTGTTGTTGGGACTGGTCTTTGCAGTTGCCGGACAAGGCAGCGTAGAAGTCAGAGCCAAGCTGTCCGGTGCGCAAGCTTCGCTTGACCCTTTCTTCGGCCCTGGCAAAGAGCTCAGCCTGGTAGAAGCGCATCAGGAAAGTGAACATGTATGGGCATGCGCTGGCACACATGGGCCTTGAGGCCAAGATCCGAATTTTGATCTTGTCCCATTCAGCATGCTGACTCAGCTTGATCATGGCCAAGATCCGCTTCAGGATCTGGAACTCGTGCTCACCCTTTGAGATTTGCGTGCCTGTGTTGCACGCTGCCTGCACGACCTCACTGACGCCATTGACATCCAGCACCTCCATGCAGATGACCTTCCATCTCATGCCACGGCGGGCCGCTTCAGCAAAGCTGGGGTCGATGGCCTCCACCCTGGCCATGCTCAGATGGCCGTCTATGCACAACTGTCCACCTTGTGGGTGCACAGCCCCGTGTCGCAAGGCTCGCAACATTGCGTTCGTGCGCGAGCCCGCAAGCGACGCATAGCGGACTTGGATCTCATTGATTGGCGGTATGAGGCCGCCACTGTCCTCGCGCAATTTCCGGTTGAAGGCAAGGACCTGCTCGTCGTGCGGGGCCAGTTCCAGGCATATGCCTCTGGTTTCCCGATCGTCCCACCCTACCTGCGCCACCTTCTGCGTGAGGTCGTGGATGTCGGGGCCGGACAGGCCGAAACCGTCCCTGTTGAGAGGAGAGCAGGCGACTTGATCAGGCTCAAGCTCAGCCTCCCTCATCAAACCGCGCCGTTTCAACGCTGCCATCAACATGTGGTGGGCTTGAACTACCTGCCCAGTCTCGTGCGCATGGCGCACTGCTGTCTCGATCTCCTCTCTGGCAGCGCTGCCCAACGGCATGTCTTTCAAAAACTCTTGAGCAAAAACCTTTGCAAAGGACATGCCGAGTCACCCACGCATGCGAGCTTCACAGCCCTGCGCGTTCCCAAGCGAGCACGTCAACGCCCTGCTTTGTGCGTGCACTCAGAGACTGTCAGGCTTTACATGTGCGCATGCTGCATTAACTGAAACTTTGCTGGCAACGCAAGACAGCTGGCCTCCACCCTGCATTCTTGGGTATATATAGAGCTGGGCCTGCAGCTTGCAGCACTGACAACCACGATCTCCTCTACACACACACGGCTAACCTTAGCCAACAGGGCTGTTGGCAAGCTGAGCGCTGATGGTCTAGGTCTTGGACAGATTTATCACTCACACCGCACCTGAAAACGCAAGCCGCATGCCTGCCAAACTGTTTGAGACATGTTTGACTTGCAAAGCACGACATGTTGCAAACCTGCGTGCCGTGATACTAACGCAGACAGCAGCACACCCGCCTGCGCCTGCGTGCCACAATTGCAAGGCTTCTCAAAAGGCTGCGGCTGCCAAAATGTCGATGGGAATCGAAAAACATGCGTTGGTTTTGGCCATGCACACCCTTTCACTTGAAAACCAGCACGACAACAGTTCACCTAAATTCCACGCGTGCGTTGCAAGCAAATCCAACAATGTCACGTTCCCCCACGCGTTGCAACTTTGCAACTTGTCATGAGTTTTCTTTGTTCGTTGCACTTGTTTCAAAGCAATCCCCATGCATGAACCGAGTGACTGTGACCTTGTTGTTCTCAAAGTAACAATCCATTTCAAGCTGGAGCCGGGGTAACAATTGGTTTTGCAAAACCCTGTTGTAAAAAATGAACTGCCGGCGCCAACAAAAAACACGCGGCCTCAGTACGCAGCAGTGGGTCCATGGACACGTCGCAGTCTCAATGCTTGCCACCCATGGCAATGCCGGATTGCCAGTTGCGGGCTTTACACGCAAAGCTCAAGCGAGGTTATAAAACCAATGCACCCATTTCAAATGACCCTGAGAATCAAACAAAGGAAGCGGCCACGCCGTGGGTTCATTTTCGAACATGCCAGCCAGCGGCGCTGGCCAGCGCAACGCTGCAAGACGCATGCGCAGTTGCAACAAAAATGTTTCCGGCAAATTCAAAACCTGCGCCATGGCAGTTTTGCAACGACCGTTGGCTTGTTCGTGGAAAAACCAACTCTCGGAGGCATAACTGGCATTCTGCAGCAACACGCGCGTGCCAATATATAGCCTGCCGCGCAGTCCACTCATGCGTTTTGGTGCGGCATCCTTGATTTCCGGAAGCCACGAACGTTGAGATAAAACAGTTTACCAAAGTTACAACGAGGAACGCAACCCAGCCAAAGTAGTTTAGCTATATGGCCCAAACGCAACCGCGCAGTTTAGCACGTTTAGAAACATAATTTGCAAACTGCACCCAAACAGAACACTCAGTTGTCTCGCTTGATAACTTCGGTGCGAACGTTAGTAAGTTACCCATGCGCGCTAACAAGTTTCGCTGGTTTACAACGTGCTTTATAGCAGTTACACTACGTGTTAGACAACTTGCGCCCCACGTTACGCCGCTTAGCAGCTCAGCTGTGTCGGCCAAACACTTGCAAACACACACGGGCATCCAAGTAAGATAGCGACAGCCCTCTTGGACGCTGTCACCACGGCAGCCCTGGACGCCGCCCTCCACGGCAAGGCGGACGCAAGCGCGCTGGCCTCCCTGCTCTCCACGGTGGACGGGTTGGACACGCCGCTGGAGGTAGACACCAAGATCTGGGTCTCGCCACCGAGGCCTTCGTCGCAGCGCAGCTTGCTAGCCGGGACGCCAGCATCACGGCGCTCCAGGGGGCCAAGGCCGACGCGACGCTGCTGGCCTCATACGCCACGAACGCCGCGCTCTCGGCCAGCGAGACCACGCTCCAGAGCGCCCTCGACGCAAGCCTCGCGGAGCTCGCCGCCCTGCAGCTTTCCGGCAGCGGCGGAGTTGTTAACGCGCCGGCCTGGGCGGGCTTCACGACTTGGGAGCTCGTTCGCGGAAGTAACGTCGTTCGCAACCTGCATCTGGGGGCTCCTCTCTCTGCTGCGCTGGCCAACGGCGACGACACGCTGAGCATCACGGCAGACTGCTACTCCACGGCGGGCACTGACGCCGCTATAACAGCGGCCTTGCTGGCCTACTACACCTCGGCGCAGGTAGACGCGCTGTTGGGAGACTACCGCACAGGGGCAGCGCAGGACGCGGAGACGACCAGCGCCATCACAGGCGCACTGCTGGCCTACTACACCTCGGTGCGCTGTTGGGAGACTACCGCACGGCAAGATGGCGGGCGCGCTGCTACGGGCCCGGACCAGGACGTCTTCACGACCAACCAAATCACCTCGGCGCTGGTGGCGCACCGTTCAACCGCAGACCAGGACACGGCAACGGCC